CTAATCATCACAGAATACTCATTTTTAAACCATCGGATAGATCAAAAATTAATCTTCCTGATAATAAATAAGATTTATTAGAATTTCCAACAATAATACACTAAATTCTAGCATTGCTTCAAAAACCTTTCCATTTATTTAGCTATCACGCAGTTGGACTGTTAAACTAGATTTAATATTTCGTCGTTAGTAGCCCCATGATTTTAAGTCCTGATGAGTCGGGATTCAAAATGAAACAATAGCTGAAATGTATTGAATTTAATCTTTCAGCATTTTAAAACAATAATTTTCTTACATTCTTTATTACATTTCTTAGTTCCACGGCAAAAAGGTAAAGTAAAATACGTAAAAAATTATTTCCGTCTATGTGGTTTAATTAAATTCACTAAAAAGCAAACTATATTTTTTTAGTTATTATATGATATTCTTGATCATGTGAGATTAAAAATGGGAATTCCATTACCAAAGCCTATATTCCATTCCATTCCTATACTAGCAAGTGAATAGAAATTTAAGGAACAATAGAATTGATAGAATAAAATGTCATGTATGACAGAATGATTAGTTTCCTTCCAATTAAACTTCTGTTTGGCAGATATGACTTAAATTTCGTCACTGTTATTAACCCTAGGATTTTATTCTCAATCTAACCTTACTTAAAATATCAGGATAACTAAAAAAATTCTTTTTTACTTTTTAGTTCATTTGACTAAAAGCGCGTATTTTTTTTTTTTTTTTTAGTCCAAAGAGATTTGAATCCCGAAGGACTATTAGTTTCGTTTCGGCATTTTGCGTCGGACGGATAAATGTCGGTTCACTTTTCAAACTGTTGCCATAAAATGTTAGAGTCCTGCATTATATTTGAGGAAATTAAATAATGAAAATCTGCGTAAATGTATGTATATTTCTCACATTGTCATAAAATAACGGTACATAGAGTCATCGAATTTTGAATAACGTAATCCTCCAACGAATATGAGCATGTGGAAGACCAAATTTGAAATTTGAAATTTGTTTTATGATCGATTTCCTATTTTTTAAAACTTTGACGAATTTTTGATTAACAAACTCAAGGATTTCAAAGCGAGCAATGGCAACGTTGTGCAGAAAAAACATTTTTATCTCCAGCGCGTGAGTCTCTGTATCGGAAATTCTAAAGATATGCTCGTTTTAAAACTATTTTGCGATATTGCTGTTGCACTGGATCTTATGGTTTAAGTGCGAGGAACATGATATTTAATAAAGAAAGGTAACACACAAAATGTTAAAAAACGCCCCTTTGGACGTAATTTAAAATCTGAAACATTTCAGATTTTTTTTTTTTTTTTTTTTTTTCTGTTTTATTTTGTAACCTTTTAAATAGAGTCGAACGGGTTTTCCCTTTCAAAACACTGTGTTAGGTGTGGCATCGTTCCACGAGATTTTCACTCACCTCATCTCGTTCTGGGGCACATAAATTATTATAATTCATCACTAGTTATTAAGGGCGTCAGAAACACTTCTTTCCCCCTTTTTTTAAAGGATACTCTTGTTACGCGACGATGTTGTCACCCACTATTGGGCTTAACAAAGGGTTACTGACTTCTGATTTTAAAAGCCAAACATCCGGGTTAAAGAGAATAACTGTGCAGCCTTTCTTGTTGCGAAATAAACTGCAAATAAACAGGGGATGGGCCTGAAAGTGATGCTGCTGTCACAGATTTAGATTCCCTATGAAGAAATCCAAAATTACACATGCATTTCTATTCTTTGCTTCATAAATGCCTTACATTGTTATTCTTGTAACACTGAACAAAAAACAAAATTTTTAACTTATTTACTGTCTTCTTGATGCTAAATACGTTTTTTCATAGCATTTGCTATATTGGAGATGAATATGACAATGAAATGGTAAGAATAGTTAAATTTCTGCAGTTAATTAACAGTTCCTTTAAGTTTTAAAAATTAAATGAAAACCATAAATTTCAGATCTGGAGACCCACAAAATTAATCATCAGCTCGCTGGATGGATGTCTTCAAATGCTCCGCTGGCCCAACAATGTCTAAGTTGATAAGAGAATAAACGATTCTAATAGTTCGACACCGGAAATGCAGGGAACTAGGAAATAGAGTAAAGGCCCAAAGTGTTTTTTTTTTTTTTTTTTTTTCCATACACTGCTTTGAAGCAATGACGTACCCCCTCCTGGTGACCAAAACATTCACAGATTTGCTATTAAGATGTTTTCTCTGTTCTGCAATGTACACATGAAGGACAAAAGTAGAACAAATTTTTCATTTTCAATACATTCCAGGATAGTTCTTCCAGGATTCCAGGATAGGTAATTCCAGGATTCCAGGATAGGTAAACATTTTATAATTACGTCGTAAATATAAGTATAAATATAGCATATATTTTCATTTTCTACAACATTTCAGAGTCCTAAGTATGTGAAAGAATATATTTTTAAGCAATATATTTCATTCTAAAAGAGATTAAAGGCTATACTTTCTTTGAACTGTTTCCTCAGAACGGTTTTAATTTGAATGAAATGCTTTCATATGTTTTCACAAATTACATTCAAAAGAAATTTTAAGGCAATTCGATTTTATTCGGTTAATGATTACAAAAATAAAAATGAAAGTTTATTGTATTATTAATATTAAAAATTAGCCGTCCATACGAGAAAGTTGTTAGTGTCTTTGACTGCCGTACCGATGGTCCCGGGTTCGAATCCCGGAGAAGGCAGGGATGTAAACTGTGTGTCCCATCCTAGGAGGTAACGAAGGCCACCTATTAGGTGCCTCCATAATAAAATGACCACCGTCTCGGGCCTTAGTAGTGGCCAAAGCCTATAATGGCTAATGTCATCCTTTAAAAAAAATATTAAAATCACGCATTATTTTCTATTTACAGAGCTTATTTATGGAATACCAGATGATTTTCAGCTTCTGAGGCATCTTCTAAATCAAAAGTCATAGTCACTCTGTAATTCACTCTATGCTCTATTCCGTTCATTTCAAATTAAAGCACCTTTTATTTTTTAATAGCGAAATACGTTGCACATTGTTGCTGATTTCTGATTGCCGTACATGCGATCATAATTTAATTTTGCTTGTTTTATAAGGTATTTCTCCCACCTTCTTAGCATGCCTTCGTGGTGTGGTGGTCTGCACACTAGGCGCGTATTCCAGAAGTCCGTGGTTCAATTCCCGGCGAAGTCATTGCTCAATTTTCAAGTCTTCTGCTTTCAAAAAATACCTAATGTCTCTAGAATGGCGCCCGAACTTCTCCACACCCGGGATTTGGCGATTAGGTCCCTTAAAAACCCCAGTCGCCATTTAAAAGGGGAAGTATATAAGGCATTTCTCCCGCTTTCGTAGCATACCTTCGTGGTGTGGGGGTCTGCACGTTGGCGCCCAACGTATTCCAGAGGTCCGTGGTTCGATTCCCGACGAAGGTGTTACTCCTTTTTCAAGTTTTCAAAATGTACCTAATGTCTCTACAGTTTGAGAGAGATACATGCATATACATATTGGTTTCGGTAATTTGTTTATCCATTCAGTATTGCAACATATGCATGAATAATGTGTTTTATGACAGCTTTGGATGAAACATATGCTAATAAAAATTGAAACAAATATATAAATAATTAACGGAACTAATAACGAAAATTACGAGTGTTGTTGGTTGTTGTATAGTACTAATTGATAATCTAGCAATTATAAAGCTTCTGTTTATTGACATTACGGCATATGGGTTAACAGCACTTCTGTATTCTAGCAAGATCGTAAAATTTTTATACATTTCCCCCCCCTCCAATTCTGGTTTTAATGTGCCTAATTTTCATACTGATTTTTAAGCTCTTGTTATTCTATTAAATTTTGTAGCATTAAGCGGTTTATTTAACAGTCGAACAATAAACCAATTTAAATTTTAAAAGTGCGCAAAATTAAACCTTAGGCCTAAACTGAGTTTATGGAACAGCAATATATATTTCAAAAGAAACTTCCAATAATCTTTCTGTTTCAAGAAAGGAAAAAAAAAATTAATGGATAAATTTTATATAAACGTGTCTCTGTTTTTTATCATTTGAAGAAATGTGTTCCTTGTAATTAACGATAAATTCCTAGCATGTTTCTATAAAATTGTCTTTCAGTCTAAGAACTGTATATTTTCTTAACTATTTAGTTTTCGAAAATTAAATTATTATTTTTGTTACCAATAGGAATTAGTCTTTGTTTATTAAGTTACATGTATAGATACTTGAATGCAATCAGTTTCTTTAATTTTCTTCAATTTAGTTCCTTGTATTAAAAAACTCAAATCCAGAAATATTAAGAAATTGTAAAGGTAACTACTACTATAAAACTGCAGAAGTTGTTTTAATTTTTATCATTAAAGTTTAAACTTTTTTCACAAAATTTTGATGTTTTAACTTTTAAAAATTTTAGGTTATTTTCAAGTATGTAAATACTTTTTAATTATTCATAGTTATTTACTATTCCTCTTGTTAAACAAATAATAAATACTAAAAAAATTTAATTCTTTAGATGTTATTTAAATTCTGTAACAGTAACTCTTTAGATGTTATTTAAACTCTGTAACAGTAATCAGTTTACACTAATTTTTTTCTCTCTCGTTCTTTCAGGACCCGGGAAGGGTGACAGTAATTAGAGATCTTCTTTTCCTATGGGAAGTGGTGACAAAAGAAAAAAGAAATAAAGGAATATAAAGAAATATTACAACACCACCAACCTTGATTTTCTTTGTAACCCGAATAAAAGAAAATGTTTACATCACAACCATATAGCTATTCCGAAAGATGGCATTTTTTTAGATGTATTCTTAAAATGTCAGTCGATTTGAATAATTCAAGGGCAAATGAGAATTCTTATTAAGATGGGACGAAAGTGAATTGTTCCAGAAAGAAATAAAGAGGTAATTAAATAATTGAACCACAAATGTGGAAATGGGTTAGAAGCGCCCACTGGAGGCGTTTTGAGAAACTGCAAATGGGTTTTAACCTCCACCCTTAGTTTGTTGTAAAAGAAAAAATCTGGTATAAAAAGAGATGACATGGTATCATTCGGAGAATTTACTCGCGTTCTCTTGGTGTTTGGAGAATAATTTGATGAAAATGAAGATCTTAGTAGTAAGTATGATATTTTTTAGAATTAAAAATATATTGGCAGAATGTCACTGAAAAGTATAATGAAGCTTTAAACGATCTTAAAAAATTACCTCATTAACAATTATCCAAGTTAAAGGATTTATTTACTTTGTAAATATCCATTCTAATAATAATATTAAAATTTTCTGCTTAAATAGACGTGCTTGGTGATGTTCTAATGTTATTGTAACTGTGCCCGAAATTCCAAGGGAACCACGGGCGAACCTCGGTAGCTTCAAATAAAGCTATATAATTTGCTTTGAAATATCCCCAGTGCTTCTGCGCCATATAAAAGCAGATGAGATCGCTGCATACGTTTATAAGAAAATTATTTTGTAGGAGATGACAACCAAAATAGAATATATTAATAATAATTTATATTATCCTGGACCTTTTTGATAACTTTAGCATATAATGAAAGGGTAATTCATAAGTATCACACTGGGTATATTTTAATCAAAATCGTAAAAAACAACCTTATATTTAGCGTAGGTATAATGAAACACTCAATCGATTTCGAGGGCAGCTAAAGGTCCCTCCTCATCAGGAGAAAGAAATACATAGAAAGAAGAAAATAGGAATCACAGAAACACGTGGTGCTTATCAGCACTGCACGTGGTTATAACTAGATTTTTAATCAGAGTTGCACTGGCCGCCTACTTTTACTGAGCCAGGCTGTCTGATCAAGCATAAAGAAATATTAGCGAAGTTAAAATAGGGAGCGAGGGGCAAATGCACATTACGCTCAAAATCTGAACTTCAAATAATGGAAAGCAACCACTGAACGGATTTTTATACCCTCTGGTAGTACCAAGTGCTTCTATGTATTTCTATGTATTTCTTTCTCCTGATGAGGAGGGACCTTTAGCTGCCCTCGAAATCGATTGAGTGTTTCATTATACCTACGCTAAATATAAGGTTGTTTTTTACGATTTTGATTGTCACATTAGCGTGTTTCTCTTCTAGTCTAGGGTATATTTTAGTTTAACGGACATAAACTTTAAACTATAAATCTTTAAGCTAAAGTATCTTTTCTACATTCGGAACTGCATTTTAGAATTTGTGCTTGTTAGTACATTATAAATAGGATGCAACACGTGCTTTATCGCTGAAAACAACAGTTTTCATGCCAAATTCTGAAAATGGGCCTACATGCACTTATAACTGTAGAAATTACTAGGTGATGCCAACCCAAAGAGTTGGGAGGAGGAGCTTAGGTAGTTTTCAAATTACCATTATTTATTTACAAAATCTCAATACTTTTCATATTCGTAAAGATGAACTTTGAAAGCTGAAATGAAGGAATTATTAATAACAACTTAGAACAATATACAAAGAGATAATTTATGCAACATCAAGTTTAAAATGTTTAAGTTCCAAATTTTTTATCTGCGGTATTTATATATTAATTATGCTTATAAGCAAAACTCTTTAGTATTCTCCGAAGCACTGAATATAGAAATGAAATGGACTGTAAATTTTTACTCAAGTATTATGTACTGTTATATTTTGTAATAATGCGATAAAAAGGAAAGTACTTGCATTAGTTTTCATTTAAATACCTACTAATGGAGCTTCCGTTTTAGTATACAACACATATTAAGGTAGTATTTAATTAATTTAAATAACTCAGTAATTTGTTTAATTCATTTGAAATTCACTCTCACAATCAGAATTTACTCTCACAAAATTACTGCAAAGCAGTAGTGCTCCTTTCCCACCTTGAATTCTGAAGTGAAAATTCTCTAACGAAAAAAGAACACAGTTTTCCCTTTTTTTTTCTTTATTCTCTTTTTTAAATCTTTCCTCGTTTGTCTGTGACTAATTATTTGCCATTTTAAGTACTCTGTCTAATTATGTTCTACATTCTCCTTTCTATTTCTATGAAGGACAATAAGTAACAGCTAGATTTAATCGTTATGCTCAATGTAGATGGACTATGGGGCTGGAAATTAGTTCACTTAATTTCATGAATGGTTATCCACGTTTAATATTTCAAAGAGGAAGTATACCAATTATACATTTTCCGTAAAAGAAAAATCCTAAATTTATAAATTAGTCTCTTTAGTGAATGTTCATGAGAACAATTTTATTTTATTTGCCTAACAATGATGAAAATATTTTATTATGTTGAATAAAACATTTGTGAATAATGTAGCAAAGATCTTCAAATTTACGAATTTACCAAAAGTCGAACTTATATTTTCGCTTTGTTTACTACTTATTTAAATTAGTAATCTGTTGCCTATTGCATTTCAAAGATAAATCGCGAAATCTACTTTTTAAATGTTTTTATTTAATAAAGAATTAGAGTTAACTACAATATGCTGTTCTCAATTAATATAACCAACAAAAAGAGGCTGCTGCATTCGATTTGAATTTTTTTAGGAATTTAAAAGCATTATTGATAAAATACATAAATTGGCAGATGAAATTCGATGGAGTTTATGTTTGTTTGCTAGCAATATCAGATCTATATTTTTACTGTTTTGCTATATTCGAAAATGCTTGCTACCCAAAATAGTTATTAATTTAATAACTATAAGTTTTCATGTTAAATAAATTATTTTATGAATTATTCAAAAAATGTGCAGTGAATAATTCGAAATTAATTAATTTATATGCATTTAATATATATGTAATTTTATATTTAACACATTAAGTTTATTATTATAATTCTTGCATAAGAGTTAAGCAGAATTTCTCTCATTGCAGAAATATTAAAAGTATTTAATAGCGCAGCACTTCGTTCAAAGATGGCAGCACTACTGCTTTGCAGTAATTTTGTGAGAATAATTCTGATTCTGATAATGAAAAGCTACATACACTTTCCCTTTCTGAAGTAAATATTAAATTATTTTAATCAAGCACAATTAAAAATCAGGAATAATACCAAAACATTTATAGCGGATTTTCGATTTTCCGGTATCATACTGGGGACTACACTCATATTCTATTTAAAATTACGGTTAAAATTTGAGAACACTTCAAACAATGCAGGAAAGAAGAATCCATATTATAACTAAGGAAAAAAAAGTTTGTAATTAGCATGCAATTTAATCTGGAAAATAAGTTTATTTGGTTATGGATATTAAATGAGGATTTAGACCAAATAAAAAAAATGTGGGGAGAGAAACAGGTCTAAATAGGGCAACAATAAACATTCTTAGAAATAAAGATATTACATTATAAATGATATTAAAGAGCTATATTTATAAGAGATTTGTAATCTCATATATTTCCCCCAATTTTCTTCTACGCTGATACATTCTGATAATTTTACTGTCTTTTTTCAATAGAGTATATTTTTAGATAGGGCTTGGTTAATCTGTAATTTAGATCTGACTGTGCACAAATTCGGGGAAAAAAAAAAAAAAAAAAAAAAAAAGGTAGGAGGGGAGCAAAGCTTTCAGACTAAATATACTTGAAAATGTGTAATATGTAAAAACTGTTTCGTTTAAAATCATTTTTTGGTTATAAGGCATTGATGTAGAAATTTTTCTAGGTTCATGGGTGAAAGAATTCATGTTTCTTTTTACAAATTAAAATGCTCAAGAATATGAAATTAATTTCAATAGGAAAAATAAGCAAAGTGAATTCTTTAAATCCGCGTACTTCATTGAGTTGTGAAAATAGTTTTGAACCATTAAGAAAATTAATTACTGATTTGCAAAAATAATATTTATTTTTTGCTTTCGAGCAAATTACATCACATTACATTTTTGACTCCTTTTTTTGTTTTGTTTTGTTCTTGTTTTCGTAACCTGAGTATGAAGTTTTCTAATATGTAGTATTTAAAATTTAATACTCAATATTCTAGCCACAATTTTAATTGTTAAAGAAATAAAAGTTTAATTTCAAAACAGGCGTTAAATTTTATATCATGATTATAAATTCAAATATTCGTTGTCAAAATAGTAACAATCTTTTATGGTGAATTTTATTATTTTTGGTTCCCACATGCAGAGTTGCTACTAGGTCTTTCTTATGTTCTGCTCCAAATCTTATCTTTTGGTCTTTGTATTGGGAAAAGAAGAGGAACAGATGATAAAAACAACGAGAAGCGACAATTGTTTACAAAGTATTTCTATCTCTATTATAACATTTGTGTAGAATCATTCACATGGGTTTATAAATAAATATTTATGTATTTAAACAAATTAAAATTCTTAACAAATACGTATAAAAGTAAAAAAGTAAAAAAGCAAATTTAAATTCTTAACAAATACGTATAAAAGTAAAAAAGCAAATTTAAATTCTAAAAAAAAGGAAAAAAGCCAAAATAATTTAAAATAATTTAAAAATATGCAAACATGTAAAGATTTAATTCTCGAACAAATCTACAATATCATTTAAATTCAGAAGCATAAGCAAATCAAGTGCAAAATCTATCCATGAAAATAAATCTACTAATTTAATAAATTAAAATTAAAATTAAACAATTTTTTTAAAAAATGCATATGTGAATAATCGTAGAGTAGGCAGGAGACAGACTTATCAAGGGGAAGTTGCCTCCAAACCTAACTCTCCAATCATTCAATTCGTGTTTCGTCATTCATGCAGGCAAGGGTAAAAGTCAAAACCAAAAGTAATTCCAATAAAGTGGTATCCTTAGAATTTACATTTAAGTATTAACATTTAGAATTAAAGTTCAAAAAGGAAAATACTAATTAAGTCTTTTGAGAAACAAGCAAGTAAAGTCAAGAATTAAACTTTTTCTTAAAAATTAAATTTTTTTAAAATTAATTTTTATAAAATAATAAAAAAAATCTAGAAACCAATGTATTTTAGAAATCCTTGTCTACAGAAACTTCCCCTACACGAATATGCATATCAATAAAAAGAAACTATAAAAGAACTATACATAATCCATATAAACCAATAAGAAATAAGAAACAAAAAGGAACAAAAAGAACTAATTCACAATTTTAAAAATAAATATATATTTAAAAATATAATTTCATATTTAGAAAATACTTAGA